CTCCTGGTGGCCAACCAGCCTCTCTGCACCCTGCTTGGAGTCGGAACCCTGTCCAGGGCCCTCCAAATCTTCCAGAGCGACTCATAGGGCCCCTCGCTGTTGGAGTCTGGTGGCAGCTCCAACAGCTTTTGCTGAGCCACAACAATTCTGTAGCCAATTTTTTTTTCTTGTGGACATTGCAGCAACACAGAATTTTGCCACTGCATACGTGGTAGCCGGGTTTGTGTCCTGGAGGAAAAAGCCTGCATAAAAATTGTCTGCCCTCCCTGCCCTCTATAGGGGAGAATATATGCAGATCTATAAACTCTGTAAAGCTCACAGTGTAAAACAACATGTGAGATATCTTCAACTTCTCTTTTACCACATATACAAATCCGTTCTGCTATTGGTGTTCTCTTATACCTGCCCTGGAGGAGTGCTAAGGGGAGAAGGTTAAATCTGGCTCTGAAGAAAACTCTTCTTTGTTTTGGGAAGATGAATTTAGAATAACAGCGTTGGAAGGGACCTTGGAGGTCTTCTAGTCCAATCCCCTGCTTAGGCAGGAAACCCTATACCCGTGCTGGCGAACCTATGGCACATGTGCCACAGGTGGCAAGCTGAGCCATTTTTAGGGCATGCAAGGTGTTGCCCTGTCAGCTGGCCAGCTGACTTCGGCTTTCTTTTGATTTTTTTTCACAAAAAAACGGCCCTATGGGCAAACCGGAAGTTTGGGAACAGACTTCCGGTTTCCTTGTAGGGCTGGTTTTCACCCTCTGGAGCCTTCAGGAGTTTTCAGGAGGCTTCCGTGAAGGCTCCAGAGGGCAAAAAATGACCCTATGAACACTTACGGCTCCTAGAAACCCTCTAAAGTCTGGGGAGGGGAAGATAAGTGTGCCAAAATGGATGGGAGCGCTGGGATTGTGCACATAGCATAATGGGTGTGGCATTCCTGCGCACGACCCCCCCACGCTCCCCCCTCTTTTGGCATGCAAATCAAAGAAGATTCGCAGTCACTGCCCTATACCATTCAGACAAATAGTTGGACAAACCAAATGATCAAGGAGATAAGTGTGGAAAACAGCCATAAGTCACTTTTTCAGTGCCGTTGTAACTTTGAATGGTCACTAAATGAACTNGGTATTATTATTTTTGAGATACAGAAGGAGGCAAGCATGGTCACCTCATGGCTGCTGCTGTGTTGCAATATTTTCAGGGAGGGCTTATTTTTGAGGGAGAGATTATTTTAGTGCATGCACTCAAAAGCCCGATTGGACTTATTATCCAGGGAGGTCTTATTTTGGGGAAAACAGGGTACTAATAAATACTTATCAAAATATCTGAGTATAATATCCAAACTATTGCTTGGGCTACTGATTTAGGGCCCAAATGAAATGAATTGCGCTGTCATTTTGTCTCCCTGCAAATACAGTATCTAACTGTTTTAGCCCTTTACGTGGGGCAGAATACCTTCTCCACAGAGGGAGATCCACATGGAAACAGTTCATGTTTCATGGAACCTGGTCCTAAGCATCTTGGAGACTGGTAAACTAAGAAAAACAAATCTCAGAAACACCCCACCCACCCCCACCACCACATTTCCAACAGTAATTTTTCTAAAAATCTAGGAAAAGTCACTTAAAACATCTCTCCTACTCAGAGAAGACACTTATATTCACCCTATATTTCCTTTCCTGTCCTGTACTTGAGCTTTCTTTCCAGACTGAGGAATATTTCATTCAGTGTTGAATTTTACAGTCGAATCGGTTCTAGTTCATTTTGAGGTAAGAGTTCACAAACATTTGGCTGGATTAGCAGAACAAGAATAAATAATTCATTTAGTGCAATCCCACCGTCGGAGCTGAATCTACATAGAATATGATAAATCTGTGGATGGAACTAAGGCTAAAGGCCTTTTTTTTCTAATTGTGGGGAAGTAAATCCTTACATTTACCTGAAATCTACTTTTTTAATTTCGACTTCAGGAGGGACAGACAAAAAGAGAATCTGATAAGGAGACAGATTCTCCAATTAAGTAAT